AAAAATATTATAACCATTAAAGTAAATGATCTACCACATTTCTATCAATTTAAATGTGTACGTACTCTATAAATCAGCATTTCACCACTAGAAATATGCACATAAAAGCATACATCAACAAAACACTTCTTTCTGTAGAGCAGAGTTATTCATAATGGCTACAAACGGGAAACAATGCCCAGTACCAGGTTAATATTTCAATTCTCAGCATGCTATGCAGCTGTAAAATTTATGAACTAATTCATATATGCATCTATGTAAATGAATCCCTAAAACAGAATGTTCAATCAAAGAAACGAAACACAAAAAATAGTACTACCGAATAATCCCTTTCATGTGAAGTTCAAGACAACAAAATAGTGAAGGTGGTAGTAATGTCTGAAAAAAGCACAAGAGAACTTTCTGATCTGGGTGAGAGTACACAGAAGTTTAGATATACAAATAAATTACAGATTTGTGTATTTCGATATAATTATGCACATTTATTTCACCGGAGTTTAGGACTTTTAATTTGTCTCAAATTTATTGAAGGAAAATTACAATAAAACATTCTGCTTTCCTTTACAACCCAACGCAGAAAACAAAACAAAACAAAACAAAACAAAATGTACTTCTAAAGAAATAGAGCCAAAGGTTTTTATTTCTTAGCAACTAATTGGAAGATTAGAAAATGGGTTAATAGTAATCTAACACTCACCTCTTTAAGAAGTTTATATGAATATATGAATATGCAGTCAAACCAACAGGGAATCTCCCTTTAAGTGGTATCTATATGGAGTTCCAAGTAGACCACGGGGCCCTATATTGTCTCGGAATGTCCTTAAAAGGCTCTGTCATTGATCAGGTAACAGTAAAAACTTCCTTTCAAATGGAAGTGGGAAAGATAGGGATTGAGGAAACTATTCAAAATTCCTTTCCTTCCTTTAGGCTTATGGTCTCCTCCTCTGCCTCCTCGGAAGCCTCCTCACCCTCCAAAGCTACCCCGGTCTCTGCCACCAAATCCACCATGGCCTTCTCTGACACCACCTTCTCCTCCAAAGCCACCTCTGCCTCCGCCAGGACCCCCAAAGGCATCTTTCCCCTGAGAATTGGCCCAGTCCTAAGTAACTGTTTCCATCAATTTCACCATCTTCCATGGCTTCCTTGGTGGCTTCGGCATCTTCTTCACCATTGAAGGCTGCAAAACCAAACCCTTTGGAAGATCTAGCCTCCCAGTTGGTGACTACCCTTGTCCAAACAGACCTCTAACAGAGTTTTGGATGGATGGCTTCTTGCTCTAGGTGTTCCCCCGGGTCCTTGCAACTCCAGCATGATTGCTCTATCCTCAATTCCTCTTTTGTTACAGGAATTTAAAGCTTCTTTACAACTTCAAATGAAGCAAATTCTATAAATGTACACTCTTTATATTTGCCCTTTTGGTTCTGGGGCACTTAGATAAAGTTGTCTACTCAAATACTTACCGAAGAGTTTCTTCTGTTGCACTGCAGCAGAGGTTGCTTAAAACCAGAGTTTTTCATCGCCACACCAAGTTCTATTTTCTACGCTGCTATACTCTTGACCTCGACCTTTCTCTCTGATATAGTACAAGGAAAAGGATTGCCCATTTCTCTGTTCCTTGCTTGTCTTCCAAGGTTTTCTCTCCATCAACTTCTGTCTTAAATTCAATGTACGCAATCCCTTTACTCTTTCCATCTTTGCTGACTAATCTGATCTCCGTAGCATCTTCAAACTCTTCTTTTAATTCATCTTGAGTAACTACGTAAAGCAGATTTTTAACCAAAAGTGTTCTTGCATCACAATCTTTTTTACTGCCTTTTCCCTTTGGTTTTTCCAGTTTACCTTCATTGCCAAAGACTTTTAAGCCAGTGAGTTCCAAGGCTTTTTCAGCAAATTCAAAATCCACATAGCCAAACTTCCTAGACACATCATTTCTGACATCCACACGGCAAGATCATTTTTAGCAAAAATGACACTGATACCAGTTTTAAAATCAGAAGCAGATTAGTTGAAATTCGGGTTTCCAACAAAGAGACTGGAAGATGGAGTGATTCTGTGGCTTCTGCTTTCTGTTTCTTGGCTTCAAGAGCTGCTTCCTCTTTGGCCATTTCCTTCTTTCCTTTTCCAGGTTCTTCCTTTGACAGGTTCTTCCTCCTCTTCCTCCTTCTCAACTTCTTCTCTACAGTTTCCACTTCTTCTTCATCCAATGCAGTACTCTTCACCTTCACAGGAACAGCTTTTGCAGGAGCTATCTTGCCTTTGGCTTGCTACAATCCCCACAGCTTCGTCAGAGACATCTTCTTCCTCTGCATCCTCTTCACTGTTCTCTTTCTTGCCATTCTTTGCTCCCTTGGCTGCCATGGCTGCTCCCTTCTTGCCAGGTGTCGCTACTGCTTTGGCTGGTGTAACTGCTGCCTTTTTGTCAGGGTGACAACTGCTTTCTTTGCTGGTGTAGCGACTGCAACCTTTTTTATTGAGGAAACCATCACCCTCTTATCTGGAGTTGTGGTAGCTTTCTTGCCTTTATTCTGAGGAATGATAACCTCTCCTCTGCTCTCATTTTCTTTATCTTCTTCCTCCTTCATTGTAGGGAAGAGACATTTTCTTGGGGTCACCTTGATTTGACCAGCCTTGTGTGTACCCTCCTTGCCTGAGTGGAGATCCTATAGGCCGCCGGCCTTCTAATAAAACAGTCTGGCCACTTCCTGCCTTGTGGCCGGGACCCCTCTGGAGACACCTGGACCCGTTACTGCTGCCCTAATTATACACATTTCTTAAACAATCGGTATAGCTTGTAATTAGAGGCAGGGGAGAGAGTATCGGTGCTGTTATTTCCTTGTAGGTCACTAGTATTTTTCTGCACTTAACTATTTTGCTTAAACAAATCATTAGCATATATTTTGGGGATTTTTATTACTACTTTGCATTATTCTCATTTCTGATATGACATATTTTTTCCTTCTCCTTTCTCTTTTCCTTAGTCTATCTCATCAAAATATCTATTTTATATTCTTTTCAAAAATCAATTTTTGAGATTACGAATATGGGGTATTTTCTTATAACTTAACTTTCATTAATTCTACTTCTTAATTTTAGTAACATCTTAACATTTTTAAGGTTATATTTTTTAACTTCTAATTTTCATATTTTTTTGTTTACTTAAGTATTTGAAGTTATAAATTATACCCTTATACCATACCATCTTAAGAGCGTGACTCAAATTTCGGTTTGTAATTTCTTTATTCTTGTCCATTATTTATTATTTAATATCCATTATAATTTATGATTTCTTCAACCCATGAATTATGTACGAGTGCTTTTTCAAATTACCAAATACATTTTCCAGTCTCTTTGTTAAGTTTTAAATTAAATTGTTACCAGAGTTCTGCACGATTTTTTTTTTCATTTTTTTAACTTGCTATTATAAATTTTGTTAAATGACCCGTATATTCTAGAGAAGAATACGAATTACTGTGTAGACAGAGCTGATTTACTGCTGGATTAGAAAAGCTCTTTCCTGATTTCTGGGGATGCCTACAGGCCTGAATGTTTCTGACTCTTAGTTAAGAAAAAGGCAATGAGATTTATAATGCACCATTTAGGTTTCAACAGTCCCCTGGCCAAGGTTAGCTTCCTTAGTTTTCCCTGCCTACTTTGACAAGGCTGTGACTTTGGCTAGAGTCACTGAAAGCTTTGTAAGGAGTTCTCCCAAGGCCCAAATTCTTCCCATTGGTCTTGTTATTTCAAGCCACAGACTCAGCATGTTCCAGGAGCAGAAACTGGGTTCATGGAGAGCTGACTGTTGGATGTTTCTTGGATCCTGATATTTACCTGAATTCTTTCTCTTGCTGCACCATATGCTTTGCCATTAAAGGCAAGCCTCATGTGTGATACCCTGTGGCAGGAGTCCCCTATCCCCAGGCCCCGGATAGGTTTGGGTCCGTGCCCTGGCAGTAATCCAGCCTCACAGCAAGAGGTGAGTGGTAGGCTACCCCGCTATGCTTCATCTATATTTGCAGCAGCTCCTCAATTTTAGCTAGCATCACCGCCTCAGTTTCACCTCAGACCACCAGGCATTAGATTCTCGTAGGAGCACTGGGCCCTGGTACCAAAAAGGTTGGGGACTGCTGCCCTGTTGGGTCTAGTCAGTCCTAACAAAGAGCAGAAAGAGGAAAACAATACATTTACTCCATAGGCTCGCTTTTATAAACATATATCCATGAAATAAAATGGTTATTTTTGTTGTTCAAATTGTCTTTATATTTTTATGATATGTCAACCAACATTGGAGAAAAATATTTTAAGATCTCACTATGAAAATGGATCTGAAAATTTCTCCCTCCAGTGCTATCAGTTTTTATTTTATATGTGCTGAGGGCATTTTATTAAATTCATATAAATTTAGAATTGTTATACATTCTCACTGAACTATTTTAAGTAATGATGCTTATCACTCATAATGTTTGCATGAAAATGTGTGTATTAAGTGTTTGTGCATTCAATGCTTTTGTTTTTTTCCCTGCTATTATCATGGATATTCACATTTTCTTTTTGTTAGCATTTTCCAAGTATATGTTATACTCTCCTAAACAATTTAACCTCTCTGGATATTTATATTTTTGGTGTAATAGCTTTTACAAACACATTCTCACTGGATTTTTTTGGTGAGCAAAAGGAGACGGTCAGATAGACCATACAATTTATAAAACTTGTCTTGATGTGTAATAGTTTTTTCAGTTGGCAATTCAATGTTCTTCTCAGACTTGCTACTGAGATGCCGACCCTTGGATTCCTATCAGATCACCGTGTAACTTTAAAATTTCATAATGTTCATATATTACTTGAGAAATGGAAAACAAATCAACAAAACTTGCTCTTATTCAGACAGAATGGTTCTTTAACAGTAATAGAACAAGAAAGATGTGTGGATTCATTTGGGTCGTGTAATCCGGGAAATATAAAACGTTCATTTAAACAAACAAACAAAAAGATTTCTTAATTACTTGCGTTTCTGACATATCGCCATCCTTGGTGTTGGTCTCAATCTTCTCTGGCACTGTAATTTGCAGAAGTGATGCTTCAGAGTCTGCAGTAAGGGAAACGTGTGTGAGCATTCCCAGAACATAGAGCATTTTTATTCTTCACATACTTGTCCTCTCCTATCATATCACTCTCTGAACTTCCCAGACCCAACACACACACACACACACACACACACACGCACGCACGCACGCACACACGCAGGCACACACACACACAGGACAAAATCATATGTTGTACGATTCCAGGAGGAGTCTAGGCACACACACACTGGGCAAAATCATATGTTGTACGATTCCAGGAGGAGTCTCCGCTGGACTTGGGAGTATTACACCCTACTGCTCTCCAGAGACGCTTGGGACTCGGTGACCTCAGCCCTCCCTAGGTAAAGAAGTATTGGTCTGAGAACCTCATCCAGGGTCTCTCCTTCACCCTCCTCCCCAGAAGCAGAGCTCCCTCTCCTGCCGGTACAGGGTCAGGTAAGTGAAGGACAACTATTCCAGGAGTGCTCTCAGCCCTCCAATCACCAGGACTAGCAGGACCCTGAAACTAAGAGAGCTCCAACGGAATGCTGGGCTGTCCCTGGCCGGGCCCAGGATTCTGGAGCAAGGAGGGCACTGCTCTGCAGGCCCAGCTTACGATGGTCAGTGGAGGTCAGCCGGCCCAGACTTAAGAGGATCAGTAAGAGAGACAGCATTGCGTGGCCGGCGGGCCTCTCCGCGGTGATGGCAGTTGGCCCCGGATTGGAGGCAGCTCGAGCGCAAGCGCGGTCGCTTGCCCCACGGGGCGGCTGGAGGGATCAGCTGCTCAGCCCCGCCCAACCCAGCTGGCCGCCCATCCAAGCCGGCTGCATGCGGAGCTGGGGGAGCTGGGGGAGCTGGATCCCTACCCACGCATTTATTTTCCCTAAATTTAACGTTTCTCCTCTGGAAGTAGAACATTTGCGTTTGAAGTTCTTGGCAATAGTAAGGGTCCATGTCATAGCTTTCTGGTTCAATGGCACCAGAAATGGTGCAAGGGATGTAGAAATTCACAACATGTTTAATGGCAGACAATTGCCGATTTTAACCACATGTAATGGGGGATTTCTGCTTAAGTTGCAGATAAAAAGGTACACACAGAGAGAGATTGTGAAAAAATGTAAATCAATTCTTCAATATTGCCGATGAGTTTGTTTCTTAGAAAAGTCTTTGGTTAAAGAAAATGAATTAATCTATATATATTTTTGGAGATAATACAGCCATTTTTACTATGATGATTCTCCCAGTCTATGAATACGAACATCTTTCTACTTCTTTGTCTCTTCTTCAATTTCTTTTTATAATGTCTCATAATTTTCAGGGTATAGATCCTTCACATTCTTTAAGTTTATTCCTAAGTAATTTATTCTGTTTCTTCCAATTCCAAAAGATTTTTTTTTCATTTTTCTCTAAAATTCCATTGTGTATAGGAACACATTGGGTTTTTGTGCACTGATTTTGTATCCTGCAACAATATTGCATTTATTTATTGTTTCTAAGGGGTTTTTGGTAGCGTCTTTAGGGTTTTCTATGTAAAGAATCATGTCGTCTGTGAAAAGTGACAATTTGACTTCTTCATTTCCAATATGGATGGCTTTTCTTTCTTTCTCTTGCCTAATTGTTCTAGCTAGGACTTCCAATACTATATAGAATAAGAGTGGTGAGAGTGGGCATCCTTGTCTTAGTTCTGATCTTAGAGGAAAAGGTAGCCAAGACATAGAAACACCAGAAGTGTTTTTCAATAGATGATTAGATGAAGAAAGTGTGGTACCTGTAATGAAGGACAGGGCAAATTTCTCTGAGGGGGGATGAGCTCAAGCCCTGTATTAGAGAGAGAGAGAGAGAGAGAGAGAGAGAGAGTGTGTTCTTGACTGAGGACAGAAAAGAAATTCAAGCACACACCACAGTTAAGAGTCAAAAGGAAAGTTGATTAAAGAAGGAGTAATACTCCATAGACAGTGTTGTCTCCTCTCAGAGGCAAGAAGTGAATGAGACTTAAGACTCAGAGGGACACAGAGAGAGACATTGAGAGGGACCGAGAAAAAGCCAGTGAGAGGGACTGCAAGTGTTCAAGGAATTCAGCTTATAAAGCATCCTTACTTTCTGTGAATTACACTTTAAAGACTTTTTTTACTCATTTTCCTTTCTTCAGAAAGCATACAGTGTGAGAGATAAGAGTATGTAGTGAGAAAGACCTGAGGGCAATTGTCAGCCTTTGGTCCATAGGTTGCCCATGGTTTTAGCCATAGGGAATGAATGAATATGTTAATTTTGTGTAGGGCATTAAATTAAAGACTCTATTTTTCTGTTTTTCCTTCATGGTAATCCCAACAGAAACCTTCCTTTATTCGGTAGGTTTTCTTGTGGTCTGGCCATAGGGCTGATCAGTACATTGCCATCTCAGAATAAAGCTTGATTTAACATTTAGTTCTCTTGCCTCTTCCCTACATTATTTGGCAAGCCAACCAGGTCAATGGAATATGATTGAGCCGTAAGAAAAGATGGAATACTGCCTTTTGTAATAAGGATGGGTCTTGAGATTATCATGCTAAGTAAAATATGTCAGACAGAAAAAAGTTGAGAACTAAAGGATTTCACTCATATGTGAGATATAAAACCGAAAGCAACAAACAAGAAAAACAAGAACTCATAGACACAGAAAAAGGTTCAGTGGTTACCAGAGGAAAAGGGGAAAGGGAGGTAGGTAAATGGATAGGGGGTCAAATACATGGTGAAACATGATTTGACTTTGGATGGTAAAAACACAGTGCAATATATAGATGATGTTATTGAATGGTACACTTGAAATGTATATAATTTTATTAACCAATCTCATCCCAGTAAATTTAATAAAAATGTAAAATAGAAAATGTATTTTTAAAAGAAATGAAAGTCAAAAGTGCTATACCAAAAAAAAAAAGAAGGAAAAGAAAAAGAAACTAAATATTAAATGTGCATTTTTTTTTAAATCCCCCAGTATGGAGATAGAATTTAAGTATCAGGTATAAAAATATCACAAATATGAATACTTTGGAAATACAACTTTATTTTCCCACTATTTATTCCTTGTGTATATTTTGGCATCTTAGAACAATCTGGCTTAGGAGACTAAAAAAGTTAAATATCAACTTCTTTCCTCCAACTGTTTGGATTTCCCACACTAAAAGGCATGGGGGAGGAGGAGGATGCTGGTGGATAGTGGACTACAGTGGATGGTGGTGTTGTGTGTTGTTCCTCAGTTCTTCCCCACCAACGCAGTAAAGAATTACAGGTCAGCGAGATTGAGAAAAAGTAAGATTTATTGAAAGTACAATTTAGAAGGAGATGGGCTGTGCTAAGGAAGGCGATAAAGAGATTAAGAGTTTAGGAGATAAAGAGAAGATAGTACACCCCAAAAGGAGAGGCAGGTTTCCAGCCAGGAGAGCTGTAACAATGTACAGATGGGAAGATCTGTTTATATTTGGGCCATGATGGGCGGTCCTAGATGATCCCTATGTGAGGTCACCTTGACTGATAATTGGCTACTATATAACTTTTTTCCTACTGCGCATGTTTATCCAGAATTTGATCCATTATAATTAGATTTATGAACTTCCTGGCATAGTCATGAGAGTATAATGATGGTGTAATGAGGCTGAAGTTAGGGGCAATACTTTCTGTGCATGTGTTTTTAGTTGGTTTAAGCCAGCAGCTTTTATGGCCTTGTGCTCTAGGATTTGGGGTAATTTATAACCCTAAAAGGGAGGTATTTCTGGGAGGTGCTTAAGAAAGGTCTTCAAGGGAAGTTTCTATGGTTACAGAGCTGGGTCTCTATTCCTTTTTCCCCTGTAGTTCATGTCTGACTAGCTACCTAACAGTAACAACACTTAACAGGAGATCTACTCTCTTAGCACATTTTAAGTGTACATCATTGTTGACTGTAGGTACAATGCTATACAGCAGCTCTCTAGAGCTTATTTATCCTCTTTAACTGAAACTTTATGCCCGCTGATTAGTAACTCCCTATTTCTCCCCTCTCTCAGCCCCTGGAAACCACCATTTTACTCTTTAATTGCATGAATTTGACTATTTTAGATACTCCTGTAAGTGGAATTATGCAGTATTTGTCTGTCTGTGACTGGCTTATTTCACTTAGCATAATGTCCTCAAGATTCATCCATGTTGCTGCATATTGCAGAATTTTCTGCTTTTTAGGGCTATATAGTATTCCATTGAATGCATATGCCACTTTTTATTTCTCCACTCATCTGTTGATGAACATTTAAGTTATCTCCACATTTTGGCTATTGTGAATAATGCTACAGTAAACACAGGAGTGCCAACATCTCTTATAGATCCTGATTTCAAAACTTTTGAGTGTATACCCAGAAGTGGGATTGCTGGATCATATGGTAATTCAGTTTTTAATTTTTTTGAGGAACTGCCATCTTATTTTTCATAACAGCTGCACCATTTTGCATCCCCACCAACAGTATGCAATGGTTCCAGTTCCCCCACATCATCACCAATACGTCTTTTTTTTTTTTGATAAGAGCCAAATATATAATAGTTGAGTGATTAGCTCTTGTGAGCTGATATGAATTGCCTCCAGTACACCACTCCAGGGGAGATGGTGAACAAGCAGATCCAGGTTCAGTGGGGCCTGAACTATATAAAATTTGATGAACTCTCTCTGAGGAAAAGAACACAAAATTAAGTCCATGACTTTGAAACAGACCTGTGCAAGCAAGTGGCCCTGATGCTTTTTCTTCCTTAGCTTTATGATAGGTCTACTTTTGGTAACAGGTATCTTAACACACTGAAGAGAGTATACAGCTTTCAAAGAGAAGAAGCAGTAACAAGAGAAGGTTTGTAGTCAGATCCCATCTGAGTAAGGGATCCTGCCTCTGGGAAAGGTCACAAGCCAGCTGAAGGCTAGGAGCTCTGAAGTGAAAGAGGAAGGGCAGACTGGGGGAGGGAGATTCGGGTCAACCTAAAGAGCAGAAGGAAAATGGGATACTCTCTACCCTTGGCTTCATGAATGAAGATCCTGGGCTACTTTCACTTGCATTGGAGCTTCTTCTGGATTCAAGGTGGAGTAGACAGGGTAAAAGTTCTGACTGAAATACAGTAAAGACACTGGACACATAATTCAGGTGTAGAGGCTTTACTATTTCAGAATTAAAACCTTCAGTAGTGACAATAGAAGTGAGGAAGAAATTGTTTTCTCCTTCTTGGTTTTGGCCAGTTTCTGGTACTCTCTTCTCTCCAGTCCAATGTACTTAGAGACTGTTACTATAAGAGAAAATGAAACAAAATAAAACAGAAAAAAAATAGCAGTCTTACTTTTTTTTTTTTTCCCCTGAGCTGACGTAATTCTAACACAGGTAATTTAAAAGGCATGGGTAATTGAAAGGAAAGGATCAAGGAAATAAACACTAATTCCAGAAAAAATGATTATCTGTTACTGCCACTGCAAAAACTCTTAGTTTTGCAATAGAAGGGGCTTTCTAAGCTACTCTAAGTATCTATCCATGTTTGCTAACTATTTAGGTCAATAAAGGAACATGACTTGACATTTCCATTCGAGTATGTGAACTGATTTTAATTGAGAAAAAGGAAAATATTGTGATCATTCCAAGTACAATCACATTTTATAAAAAATAAAAATGCTGTACATGCACACACATGGGTGTACATCTATACACTGAAATATTTTAACAATGATGATGATTCATTCTTTTGCATACCGATATTCTTTAAATGAATGTTTATTACTTGTTACTTCTGTAATAAGCAGAATGGTTCACACAACTCACATACACATACAATTTACTGAATGAATAGGACAGTCAAGGCAAGAACTGGGCATTCCAAGGTCTCTGGATGGAAAAGGATCTTAATGTCATTTAAAATCTGAAATCACTCTTCGAAATTATGAAAAATGAAACCAGTTAAGCATCAAATTAAGTCAAAATGTTTGTTGTACACTTAAGTGCAAAACTGAAAACAACGAAAGATTTTTGAAATCAAGATAAATAATGTTAAAAAACAACAAGTTATTAACAGTAGGCTAGGTCTAAAATCTCAACTTACATAATAGAAAAATCAGTGGAGTAAGAGATGGAAGAAGGTAAAATTATACTTAGCATCCCTTATACTAAATGGAGTCTCAAAACTACCTCTAACTCCATATGATTATATTGTGTATTTTCTATTTCTATGCCATGCACTTTATCAAAATAACTCCTTATTAAATGACATAGCAGAAAATAACAAAAAAATAAGGTAGCAAAAAATGTAAAATTTGAGAGAGCTAGGTCTCAGAATGTATACCACTCACATGTCCAACTGACAAAAAATAAATAACCTATGAAGTTACAACTTGATACAAATAGATTAGTGGTGAGCATTACAACTAGGTAACTTGGCAATAGATATCAAAAAGCATCAGAGTACATATTATGTTAATGTTTTGATCAATCTCTTCTAAAGAATTATACTGAGGCTATAATTGGACAATTATTCCAAAATGTGTATCCATATAAGGATAGATTTTACAGGGTGTTTGTAACAATGAAAAACTGAAAGTAGTCTAAATATTCATACTAATGGATTTTTAAAATACAGTATTTTTCACTTTTAAATTGAATATTATATGTCACAAAAAATGATATAGGCCTATATTTTAATTTTAAGATAAAAAGTTGTCCATAATAGTCTCTAAGTTAAAAAAAGGATAAGTATTTTTATGTTTTCCTTAGAAAAACATTTAAGAAAATATGCATCTATATTGTTAATAGAAATTGTCTTTAAGCATTACGATTACAAGAAATTTATCTTTAATTCATATTATTGAATAATGTATCTTAGATATTTTAATAAATAGTTGGTAGTACACTAAAATCAGAAAGATATATTTTGAAAATAAAATGCCCTGTATTTTAACTCATTGTTCGTTTGGTACTAGTGCTAAATTTTACCTGGATAACCCTATTTTCCTTTCATACGAATTTCAGAACCTTACAATTCTCCATTCTCATAAATACAAAAAATATTTTGGTTAAGTTTATGTTAAACATACAGAAACCTACATATGCTCAGATTACTGATGCTAGAAAAGAAGAGGATAAGCTTTAAAGTTAAGATAAAAAGGGGAGTTGTAAAGACAGTCAGCTTCAAGGTAAATAGAAAAAGAAAAAAATATTTTAGCTAATTAGACTCAGAATTCATGGGAAGTTTCTTTTGTCATAATTCTAGGATATAAATGTTGAGTTAATTATAAAGTAAATGTAAAATTTAAAGATGATAAATATGATAGTTTTTAAAATAAAAATGAGTTATAATTTAATTGAAATCTAATAGGTTTAGAAGATGCTAAACTGCTAAACTGTAATAAAAAATATATATACACTCCCACCTGCAATGTGTGAGAGTCCTAGTAGCTTGATATTATCACCAACTGTTGATGTCAGATCTTTTAAATTCTTCTACTCTTATAGGAGTGTAGGGCAACTCTACTTTTGATTTTAATTTGACTTTTTCTGTTGAGCAATCTTACATGTTTCGAGCCCCTTAGATACCGTCTTTTGTGAAGTGTCTCTTCTAATATTTTGCCTACTCTTCTAATATTTTGCCACCTTTTATTACTAATTTGTAGGAATTCCGTATATATTCTGAATATGAGTCCCTCACTGGAAATATGTACTACAAAATCTTCCTTCTCATTGTGGCTTCCCTTCCCCCCACCACCTTTTTTT